TTTCACTGGAGAAAGCAATATTATGGATACAGGACTCATATTTTAGCTAGAAGCAGAAGAAGTTTGAAGTTAAAAACGCTTTAATGATGGATTTGTTTCTTACAAACACGCAGCTTTTGTCTTCTCAAGACATTAACTGATGGACTGGAGTGGTGTGGATTATTGTGATGTTTTTATCAGCTGTTTGGACTCTCATTCTGACGGCACCCATTCACTGCAGAGCATCCATTGGTCATCAAGTGACGTAATGCTATATTTCTCCAAATCAAGAAACAAACTCATCTACATCTTGGATGGCCTGGTGAGGACATTTTCAGCAGATTTGCATTTTTGGGTGAACTATTAAATTAAAGTATCCGAGTCCATTTTGACCATTCACATATAAGCTGAAATTCATACGAGCCCAAAAAGTGTGAAAAGACCCTGAGATACAGTGTTTTCAATTTCACAAAACAGCAGCACGATAATCGTTTCAAGAGACGGATGAGTCTCTGTTTTGAGAGCTGATGTTTTGTGTTTGTTCAGGGGTGGGTGGTTACGAATGATATGAGAAAGCGTGGGACAGATAGAGAGAAAAAGACACAGATCAACACAGCCAGCCTGCTATATAGTGAGCGCCCGCTCACTCGCTCTCTCTCCGCAAATACTCTCATCCTAGAGAAGGTGGGCAGCCGGATACACGCGGCTTATCCATCTCTCCCAGGGCATGCTGGGTAAAGCTCAACTCCTGCTGGCTAACATAGACCTAAGCCACACAGAGCTCCAGTCTCTCCACGGGGCCACACACACGGACAGGGAGGGGGATTTATTTACTCGTATTTAGCTGCGTCCATTGATAAAATCATATGAGAAACTTAAGAGCGGCTTACGGCTGATTCTATCTGGCCTGAGCCGCTGTATGCTGGGAGGTTGATTTATCTTCGAGGTCGAGGATTGATGTCACGTCCAGCACATACTGGGACGCAGGGTGGATGTGCAGTCATAATGACAATGTGATGCATGGATGAGCTGTTGCCAAGGAATCTAGTCTAATGTGGTGCTGCTAAAGGGTCTATTAACATTTAGTATATATATTTTAAAAAATCCACCTGTAATTTGTTCAGTGTTCAAATATTTTGTCCTACCCCATTAATGTGCAGACAACTACAATTTGACTGGAATGGATTTTTAATCTAGTTTTTAGTACCATTTTGAATTTGTGCTTTAGATTTAGCTTAATTTTTTTTTTATCATTATTTTTAGGGTTTCAGTTTATTTTTCTATTTACTTAATTTTTTTTTCATTATTATGTTAGTATATTTAGGGATATCAATGTTTAAGCTAAATTAAACGGGCACAATTAAATACGATAATTAAGTTAAGTTATTAAGCACAATCGTATTGTTACTGCTGCTCACACTAGAACTAAAACTTTTAAAAACTCTTTTGTTAATGAAATAAAATATAAGATGAAAAACATACATGAACTTACATGGAAATTTGAAATGTTGCCTTGGTAACTAACTGAAATGAAATAAGTTTATATAAAATAAGCTAAAACAAAATAAGCTAGTAAAATGAATTAAATAAAACTGAAATAAAAATGTATTAAAGCTGCGTAGAATATATATAAACAAAATGAAAAAGGCACATAACAGAATGACTAAAAATGTAACTAAAATTAATATGAAACTGAAAATATAAAAATAAAAGCGAATTCAAAATATAAAAAATACTAAAATAGTATATAAATTATACTAAACAACACTATTGATATCTAGTTAGTTTTCATTTAATGCAGGTGGATTGTTAAGTTTTCAAGTTTTATAATATACCATGTATCAAAAACTACAAGTTAGAGTCATAAAAATGGATTTATAGTTTACGTTTAGGCTTACTAAAATGTTAACTAACAAAAATATTTGCATTCAGTTTTCTTTTAGTTTCTGTTAATGATAATAGCACTGCATTTATTTTTTTGTCGCTGCATTACAAAAATTTTCTGCAACTGCAGAAAAAGTTCACTTTCTCCGGCCAACTAAACCATATCAATCAGAACTTAACAAGTTAGTTCACTATACAGTGCATCGGCACCAGAGATCAGATGTGAAGAGGCTGAAAAATAAATGGTAAACCTTAAATCTATGGTATGACCGTTAACCCTTCATTCATCAGGTGTGGTTTTATAAAGAAAGTATTATATGGAAAATATGAGTGGTTTGTGACCGCTTCTTTAAACAGAGCTTACTACTGGCTTTGTCCAAATACCCACACTTGCAGTCTTTGCACTTGACCACTTGATTACTTAAATGACATATTTCCTATATTTGGCCGAAGTCTTCAAGTGGGTGTGAAGACCACAAGTGTGTGTCGAACTTTTCATTACCTGATGGGACACACTTATAGTGTTGTAAAAATGCAAGTGTTTTCACAGCTTTATTTAAATTTGAATTTGAAATACTTTGCATTTTAAAATCAACTTCTAAATGTCTGTTCAGTAGTCCCTATAACATGACATAATTGTAATTTGGGGTGCGTCTAATTAAGTGATAAAAAGCAGTTGCAAATGTTGTACAAAATAAATATCCCCACAACTCATCTTTGCACCAATAAAAGTAAAAACACTTTTTCTACCAAATTATTTGTAATATCTAATTATTATATGAATGTTTAACTTGCATTGGAAGGGTTTCCGTGACCTCTCGCGAGATCTCGGCAAAAAGTCTCACGATTTATTTCCAGAACATGATGCATGATGGGATACACTTAGCCTTGAATAGCGCTCTGGAGCGGTATTCGAGATAGTGTGGATTTAGTGTCCATTAAGGGCACTGCACTTTGGCATTTTGAAGACATGGGACAGACTTGCACACTTACTTCCTGTCACGCGCACACGCTCTCAAGTGGCCAAGACCGCAAGTGTGGGTATTTGGACAAGGCATGTCCCAGGTTTTAAAAAAGCCAAAGCGAAAATGCCCTTAACACACACTAAATCCAAACTCTTGAATCATTTATTCAACAGACTCGTTCAAACACTCTGATTCATTCAGGAATTAAACAACTGACTACGAGCAAGTCATCGGATCTTTCTATCTACTGATTTGTTCAAAAATACCGATTCATTCAAGAATGAAAAAATCAGTTTTTGCTTGAAGATGCACAACATTTTTTCAGCACTGACATTTGGAACATTTTCCATTTGCAAAGCAAAAGTTTACAATGCAAGTTATTCAATAGAAACTACTGAACCACTGAATAAAAGCAATCAAGCTCCTCAATTTTAAGATTCTTTTAAACAGAAACACACCATATTCATCTTAGTCCATTAGCACAAAGTGTGCCCATTCTACTAAAAATGGGTCATGTTCCGCATTATTTTATCTAGGGTTAAATCAGCCACCCATAACCAAAAAGGGCAATTGTCAAGTAATGTCAATAAAAACACAATATTAACCTCACAAAAAAGTATGCCAATAACTTGCAACTTAATATTTTACCATTACTGTTCATCAAGTTACCTACAGTACAACCTGTTGTTTCGGCTGTCAAGCAAAGCATTAAAATAAGTGTCATCGTGATCAAATAGTAGATGCAAATCACACCATTACGAGACACCCACATAATCGAAAACCAACCACCAAAAGATGAGATGCTAAACCACTTTGGAGATGAATTACCCAGACCACAAACAGATACAAGAATACATTATAGTCAGACAGTGGGAGTCAAAGAGACAACGACTTCACAGGGGACAGGTGACTCATTAAAGGTGCTGCCAACAAACAGCTTTATTTTAATTTGAAATACTTTGCATTTTAATATCAACGTCTAAATGTCTGGTCAGTAGTCCCTATAACATGACATAATTGTAATTTGGGGTGCGTCTAATTAAGTGATAAAAAGCAGTTGCAAATGTTGTACAAAATAAATATCCCCACAACTCATCTTTGCACCAATAAAAGTAAAAACACTGTTTTTCTACCAAATTATTTGTAATATCAAATTATTTGTAATATCTATTATATTCATATTTAACTTACATTGGAAAGGTTTCCGTGACCTCTCGCGAGATCTCGGCAAAAAGTCTCACGATTTATTTCCAGAACATGATGCATGATGGGATACACTTAGCCTTGAATAGCGCTCTGGAGCGGTATTCGAGATAGTGTGGATTTAGTGTCCATTAAGGGCACTGCACTTTGGCATTTTGAAGACATGGGACAGACTTGCACACTTACTTCCTGTCACGCGCACGCGCTCTCAAGTGGCCAAGACCGCAAGTGTGGGTATTTGGACAAGGGGACTGTCTGTCAATCCATCTGAAAATCCTCTACTGCCCCCTAGTGGAACACACAGCCATAAACACTTAATGAATTCAGTGAGAGGGAGCTCAGTGTGCGCCAACCCAGAGAGTTTGGCTTGCTGTGCTGTCACGGCACGACAGTGACAGGCTTCCTGCGCTTAGAAGAAACAAGGGTAAGACAGACAGCCTGAAAAAAGGAAACAAGAGGAAACAGAAGTTCCTTGCTGCTCAGAGTCAGAGCGGAAGCATGAAGATGTCAACAAAACATCATTTACACCGAATGCTATCAAACTGATAAAAGCAGCGACGTTTTCCACCCCATTGCCATCCCAGCGACCTCCTCGTTAAAAAAATAAAAAATCCCAGAATCCCCACAAGACTAACCCGTTCGCCTATAAGAGCGAGAGGCAAGAGTAATTTTCGAGCGGGAAGACGGCTTTCCCTGGAACATCTCTCTAGTTCCCTAATTGGAGTCTACATGCTTTTTAAGCTCCTGCTTGCATTAGCCCTGTCTCGTCAGCAGTCTCTCCACTGAGGTGACAGTTAAAGACCATTCAAAAGAGTATTCCAGATGGTCGAAGACTGCAGCGGATACGTCTTAATCCACAGAATAGAATTGTATGGCTCTCTGCCTCCGAGCCGACAGGGGCAAACGCTAATTGGCAGGAGGAGGGCTAAAAAAAGGGTACATCAATGGAATAACAAGGTGACGGCGTACCTGACAGTGAGGATGGGGGTTTGAACAGCCCATCGTGGCTCCTTTATTCTCGAAGATCTGAAACACAGAAGAAAAATACATTATGTCCTTTCAAAGAACCCAGACATAACAAGCCACAGCAAACTGTATACAAGTGTTCAGAAACAACCCAAAACACACTCAAACAGACAGGTGCAGACAAAACACGCACTCTGTTATTGAGACATGAAGAGATCAGAGCACATGTTGCCGTTTAAAAGGAAACATCCTGTCGAAGGTAGTTTTAAGACTTCCTGGCACCTCCCTCAAGGGCGATATAAAAGGATTTGAGCAGGAGAGCCATAAACTCCACAGGATCTCAAAACGCCCACTTGGGATTCCGGCTTTTCTCATTGGATAAGCCCATCTTGAGAGGCGGGGATCTTCTCTTACCTTAAAGCTGACACACCTTGTGACCCGCGCAGTCGGTGGTTCGGTCATAAGCTAAGAAGATGTGAAAAAACGCTTCCGGATATCAAAGATTGTGCCAGGCCTTTCGGCCTAGTCCTTTCCATTCATCAAGTGACTCTGACTGAAACTGGTTCTTTCTCATCAACCAACTTCAGCAAGATCTTGGGGCCTTAAGATTGCATCAGGAATCTTTTTCAGACATACGCAAGTATCAAACTTAGTCGATTTAATTGATGCATTAAGTATCAGTTACACCTTTTTACAAGGTTTGTTTGATCTAAGAATCTGACGTTTTCCCTCAGGTTTTAGATCTGCTGAATATGCAAAATGGTTCCATAAATGTCATTCCTTATGTCTCTTTCTTTAGTGCTAAACTTTAACCCTTTCCTATACCAACTGTATGTGTGTGTGTGTGTATGTGTATGTTAGACCGGTTTAATGTGTTTATGTAGTATGTTAGACTAGTTTAAGTGTTTATGTAGTTAATAAAACCTTACTTGTATCACACTTGACGTGTTCATTGTTTACTCATAACCGGAGTCAATAATCATGCAGATTTACGTTACAAACTTATAGAATTGTACAGTAAGAAAGTTATTTCCTTTAACCAGGAAATTAACGTTCTTAGAATTGACAAGACGGTTGACCCTGAGTGGTCAGCTAAATATCTACAGTGGATCTAAAATATTAATAATTAATCATAATTAGTTATGGTTAATTATTCATATTTCCTGTTGTGAGCTAAATTCGCTACAGATACCTGCACTCGAGCACCTTTGTGAACCATTAAATAACAAAATGGTCACTCTATAGCAGGGGTGTCCAATCCTGCTCCTATAGGGCTACTTTCTTGTAAAGTTTAGCTCCAGCTCACCTGCCTGGATGTTTCAAGTGATCCCGAAGACCTTGATTAGCTGGTTCAGGTGTGTTTAATTGGGGTTGGATTTAAAATGTGCAGGAAGGTGGCCCTCTAGGAACAGGATCGGATGCCCCTGCTTTATAGCTTTATGAACTTGTCATTGGGGCAATACCCTTAAAGTGACAACTTTGTACTTTATCTACCTCTAAAAGGTGCATTTTAGTACTTTAGAGTAGTAATATGTACCCTAAAGATACTACTACGAACCTTTTAGGGGTAAATTAGTTAAGTTGCCTCTTTGAAGATTATATCCCTAAAGGCTGCACCCACTGACTGCCATTAAACTGCTTGGAAGATCAAATACAATTGTTTTATATAACTCCGACTGGATTCGTCTGAAAGAAGAAAGTCATATAAACCTAGGATGTCTTGAGGGTGAGTAATTCATGGGCGAATTTTCATTTGTGGGTGAACTAACCCCTTAAATGAAGAAGGAAAAGAAATGAGCAACAACTGGCCTGCAAATTGTTTTTTTACAGAAAATATTCAAACTTTCTTAGATAAAGGTGGTGTAGTTGGAGCCGTGTTCCTTGATTTAAAGAAAGCCTTTGACACCGTTAATCATAGAGTCCTTATGTCTACGTTATCTTGTTTTAATTTCTCATTACATACACTTAACTGGATAGAGTCATATCTATCAGATAGATTTCAGTGTGTTAGAGTACAAAATCACCAATCCAATGATTTAGGTGCATCAACTGGTGTTCCGCAAGGATCTATCTTGGGTCCATTGCTTTTTGCTATATACTGTATATATATATATATATATATATATATATATATAAGTGATTTTCATCTTGCATGTCCTGGCATTAATATACAAATGTATGTGGACGATACAGTAATTTATATACATGGTAATAGTCTACAAGTTGCAAATGAACTCACAAATTCTATTGTTAATGTGTCAGCATGGCTAAAAGAGAATTGCTTACAACTAAATGTGTCCAAGACAGTATGTATGTTTTTCTCTAAGTCTAACAGTATTATTAAAGAGCCGGATGTTTACGTGTCAGGGGTGAGGCTGCAGGTAGTGCCTCAATATAAATATCTGGGAATACTGATTGATTCTAAACTTACATTTAAAGCTCAAGTTAAAAAGGTTTGTAAGCAGGTTAAGTTTAATCTCTATAATTTTAAGTTTATTAGAGATTATATGTCATTAGAGACAACTAAGATGTATATGTATTCTATGGTTATTTCTCACATGACTTACTGTTTAACCACCTGGTCTCAGGCGAGTTCAGTGACTCTAAAACCATTAGAGTCCGTATACAAACGTACACTTAAAGTCTTCGATAAGAAATCGGTACATTATCATCATTATCTAATACTGAAAAATATATAATTTGTTAAGTTGGGAAAACATGATTAAGTATGCAAATGTATGCTTGATGTATAAAATTATTTATGGTTTATCTTCTCCCCCTCTTGGTCAGTTAGTTAGTATTAGAACAACTGATTATCGTTCTACAAGAGGTGCATTAAGAGGAGACTGTATCATACTGCTTAGACTAAGTCATTTTAATTAGTCTGCTTTTTCTGACACAGCTGCACAAGAATGGAATACTATTCCCAACAACTCTAAGAGATCTATACACATATGCTTTATTTAGGGTTCAATTGAAGAATTGGTTAATTAGTACTCAGATTTGTCAACACTAGAATTTTATATTTGCTAGCTATCCTATTATTGATTGTATCTTGTTTGCAATGTCTTTATTTGATCCTATTGTTTTTAAATAGAATACTGTGTGATTTGTACTATGTAATTATACAATTTTCTAGCATGTATTTTGTAACTTGTAACATCTTGTCCAGGGACTACGGATGTAAAATAGCCTTTGGCTAATTATGGTACATTTACAGGAATGTTTTATTAATGTACAATGTCCCTGTCAACTAAATAAAGTTTAAAAAAAAAAAATTTAAGAATGTGGGGGGTTTTTTCGACGAATATTCGAAATTCGAATTTTGTTTTTGACAGTCCTAGAAGGAAGTGGCTGCCCACACCGCAAAACATTACTTATTAGTGTTCTTGATTATTGTTATTGATCATTGACAGCTGAACTGCTTAGAAATGCTTAAATGTGGATCTCATTCAGTTAATATTACTGCATTTGACTACAGCTGATTAATTATGTCACTGCAGCAACACAAACTGACATGCTTGTTTCGTTGAAATCCATATGGCATAGCTTTATAAACACTGCAATCACTTGGGCCTTTAATTTGTAAAGGAATAGTTCATAAACGATCAAACACTCACCCCTAAGTTGTTTCAAACCTGTATTGTTTTCTTTCTTCTGTCAAACACAGAAGCAGATGTTTGGCAGGATGTTGTTTTCACACTGTGGTTTTCCATACAATGAAAGTGAATGGGGGTTGTCAAGCTCTAAAACTGACAAAAAAAAAGTACCATAAAAGCACAATAAAACTATTACACACTGGATGAATCACATGCTATATCGCATGTCTCATGAAGCCATATGATAGATCTATATGTGGGAGACACCAAAATAAGTCACTATTCACAAATGTCCTACAACTTTAATCTTATTTGTACATGTTAAATGTGTACACATACATAAATACATTTATGTATGTGATATATACACATATACTTTTATCAGGCCAGTGATATATACAGTGTATATATATATATATATATATATATATATATATATATATATATATATATATATATATATATATATATATATATACACTATATATAT